TCCGTCTACGGCCGTCTCCTCGCCCTGTGTTGCCGCAGTGTGCCCGCGTCTGCCGGCGTTGCGCCCGTTGCGCGCGTGCGGCCGTCTGCCGCGCGTTGCCCCTTGGCCGTCTGCCCCCGTTGCCCGACGCCCGTCCTGCCTGCCGTCCGTCGTCTGGCAGCCGGTCGCCCGTCCTGTCCATCCACCCCGTCGTCGTCCGCGTCCGTCAAGTCGCCCAGCCCGCCCGTACGTCCACCGTTCGCGCAGCCGCCCCGTCGTGCCGTCTAGATCGCCCTATGGGTTTGAGTTATAACAATTTGTGCATAAGAAGATGACAAGATGATCTAGTTTATGACGAATCTGAACAATATTTACGCATTGAATGCTGTTAACTATCGTTCTACAAAATCATTTATTTATTTATTTAACCTGATTCAGTCTATGCCTGAAAACTACAGACAGAGATCGTTCGATTGTTTGTAATCGATCCATGCCACATGATCGCCAACCGACGGCTCGAGTGTCACCTACACATCAATAGTATTTGGTGGACAGTTGCTTTGCCTGATAATTTCGCCATTTAAATTCCAGTATACGTAATACAACAGATAAACGCGTTATCACGAAATAAGATCCTCTAAATAATTAAATCGCGACAGATCCGGCTCGCAGAGAAAAATAAGCAAATATTCCAGCACCCTCTCTAAAGCAATTGTAAGGTTAACTTCGTAAAATACTTAACAAAGGAAATATTCAGTTAAGGTTTTATATTATAGTTAAAATTTTTTAAGTTCAATCCATTAAATTGTAGAAATTACGGGGGTAAAATATTATATTTTCACGTTTTTACAAGAAAGAAAACTGGAGCATTGCAAATGTGTGAGTATGAAAACTGAACCTGTAAAATGCAGGATGAAGAATACGTGGGGTGCGTTAATTATTTAACCCTGACGAAGGATGAGTGTATTTCTTACAAGTTATTTAGCTGTAATTAAATATATGTGATCCCATTTTCTTTTCTGACAGAACTGAATTTTAATGAGTTTTTAAATACTGTTTTAAGTATCGGTAATTGTGAATCAACTAGCATTCTTAACATTCTACTAACCCTGGTTTTGGTATTTTAGATACTGCTTTATCAGACCGGATGCCTCCCGTTTTTTGAGTCTGAAAGAATCCTAGTATGAAAGCGTATTCGTGTTTAGATTTTTGGCGTGTAATGAAATATTTAACAGATCCGTCATTAAAGAATTTTCACGGTAAATATTGGATTTGATGACGTACACTAAAAGTATAGTGCAAGTTGGTGTATTAAGTATTAACCCATAAACTAATATTTCAAAATAAATTGTTTTTTTCATCATTTATAAACATTTTACAATTTCATGGAGCGTTAACATTTGTATATACATTTGATCAATTTCACAATGATATTCCCATTCTAGAATTGAATGGTTATATCAGATCCCTATGCTCAGAATATATAATATATAATATATAATATATATAAATAATATATATATATATATATATATATATAATAAATACATTGAAGCTGCCTCTTGAATGTATTATTTAAAGTGATGAGCGCTGCCGTCCGTCCACCCGTTCGCCAGCCCGCCCGTCCGTCCGCCCGTCTAGATTCCGCCCCTATGGGTTTGAGGTTACTAACAATTGTGCATAAGAAGATAGACAAGATGATCTAGTTTTATGACGAATCTGAACAATATTACGCATTGAATGCTGTTAACCTATCGTTCAATACAAAATCATTTATTTATTTAACCTGATTCAGTCATCCTGAAACTACAAGATCCGTTCGATTGTTTGATAACGAGACCATCCCACATCATCGCCAACCGACGCCAGATGTCACCACACATCAAATGTATTTTGGTGGACAGTTGCTTGCCTGATAAATTTCGCCATTACAATTCCCACGTATACGTCAATCACAACATATCAAACGCGTTTCACGAAATAAGATTCATCTAAATAATTACATCGCGACAGATCCGGCTCGCAGAGAAAAAACAGCAAATATTCGGCACCCTCTCTAAAGCACATTGTAAAACGTAACTTCGTCAAAAATACATTAAACAAAGCGAAAATATTCACGTTAAGGTTTTTTAATATTATAGTTCACAATTTTTTTAAGTTCAATCCATTAAATTGTAGAAATTACGGGGGTAAAATATTCATTTTCACTTTTTTACCAACGAAAAAAACTGGACGCATTGCAAAATGTGTGAAGTATGAAAACTGAGCTGTAAAATCAGGACTGAAGAAAACGTGGGTGGTTAATATTTTACCCTGACAGAGAGGATAGTGTATTTCCTTACAAGTTATTCAGTGTATTAAATATATTGTGATCCAATTTCTTTTTCTGAACAGAACTGAATTTTAATGAGTTTTAAATACTGTTTTTAGTATCGTAATTGTGTCCAACTAGCATTCTTAACCTTCATACCTACCCTTTGTTTGGTACTTTTAGATACTGCTTTATCAGACCGATGTCCTCCCCTTTTTTGAGTCTGAAGAATCCTAGTATGAAAGGTATTTGTGTTTCAGATATTTTGGCGTGTATGAAATATTTAACAGATCCCGTCATTAATAGAATTTTCACGGTAATATATTGGATTTCGTATGACGTACACTAAAAGTTACTATGCAAGTTGGTGTTTAGTATTAACCCATAAACTAATATATTTCAAAATAAATTGTCTTCTTTTCATCATTTATGAACATTTTACACTTTTCATGGAGCGTTAAACATTTGTATTATACAATTTGATCAAGTCACAATGATAATTCCACATTCTAGAAATGAATGGTTTTATATCAGATCCTATACCTCAGATATATATATATATATATATATATATATATATATATATATATATATATATATATATATATATAATGTGTATATATATATATATATATATTAAGTGATTCATTTTAAATAATGATTTTTTTCACACAAATGAACAAAACGTAACAAATCAAATTGAAATGTATTTGTTATCAAAGTTTGTAATTTAGCAAGCGATTTCAAATTACTTTTAAATTTGTTTTGTGTGTCAAAATAGTTTTTGACATTATTGAATAACGTGGAATTGCTTAATAATGTTCACAGCAGATAATAGTTATTAAATATAATCAATATAAAATAATTTTATATTTTTAATTGTTTTTCATTTATGATTATGTGTGCTAGAATCTCTCAGTTGTTTTTTTTTTTAAAAAAGCATTTTAAGATTAAAATTTTAGAGAGTGTTTTTTAAATAACGTTATAGCCGAATCATAAAATTATAATTTCTATTTTTTAAATTGTAGTAAAAGTTAATATTATCCATTTATTTTAATTGAGTGTATATACACGTAAGTTACGCTGCATAATATTTTATAAACAAATATTTCTTTTTTCCTTCATAAATACATATATATATATATATATATATATATATATATATATATATATATATATATGTATTTATTATATATATTATAAACAACTTCCCGAAAAAATGTTTAATTAAAAATATTTCGCTTGACATAGTAGGAGGTGTAATAATCTAAATCTACATCAGTTCTCATAAGTTCAATTAGCGTTCTATATTCCCACTGTCCACGTTTGTAATTACGTAATTTGTGCATAATGGCAGGTTGTGTATATTGATATACGACTTGCCTATAAACGTACGATTTTAAAGTATGCTTAGTTTGAGAAAATTGGGATTAAAAGTAGAGAAAAAGATTGGTTGATTTAAATACGTGATTATTTTTTAAAATAAATTATTAGATTTAAATCAAATATTTACATTAATTGTGTGAAATATTCGCCACACTACCAGAAAGCAAAATTATGCGGTGCTACTAGACAATACTGGGTAGTGGCAACACTGTGAAAAAATTACACAAAACTGTTCAAAATCTCTTGTACAAAATGACTGAAATACAATCTCTTTACAATCGAATATTACGTTCTAACTAATTCTGTTTCATGCCTTATCTTTATTGATATACCCATGCGATCAACAAAAATATGAGTAGTGCTATTTCACTAAGGAAAACTATTTTAGAAGCATTATTTTTTACCCTCATTAAGAGACGTATAGGTTTCTCAACAAAACAAAATTGATACCACTAATTTGTTTTTTCGCGCAAACCTGCTTTCTGTACTTAAAATCGTGGCTGTTCACTATGAGGTTACTTTTAAATATTTACAGTAAACATAAAACAAACATAACTATTTCTTTGTTTTCCGTTTTGGGCTGCACTGTTTCGGAAAGATATAGAGGCAAGAGGTCATGAGAGAGCCAGTACCACATGTTCCCGATATCATTTTATTAGTGATCGTAGAATAAATCCAAGTTGTCAGTTTATTGTTTAATCTTTGGATACGTCAAATGTCAACACTTTATGTGCTTTAAAGTATCGCTGATGTCAGGGAGGTATCAATACAACACAGCCTAAACATGATTCATTATGAAGAAATTAATTAAAAGGTAAGTTAATTCTGTACATCTAAGCTTTGATCATATCGTATTATTACAACCTATGAATGCAGATTCCAAATTTTCTTTTGAATAGTGAGATAATTAAAGTGCTTGTTTTAGAAGAGAAGTCCCATAAGCAGTTAAATAGACTTAAGTTCCTATCTATGAAGTATAAAAAGACGCAAAATACAAAGCATTTCGCAGGGTCAATGTGTCTGTCGAATTAAATCAACAAACTGCGTAAAACAAAAAGAAATATGCTAAAGCAGTTACAACATGCTTAAAATACAATGTACGCAATTTTATTAAATTAGAAGAATCTGTACACAACGAATTCTGTATCACGAGTCAATCCGCAATTGATGGCAAGAAGACAACGCCCACTGCCAATGATCGCGTTCGAGAACGAACGCGCTGCGCTCTAGTTTAGTGCAACCGAATGCTGACAAAGAATAATGGAGATACCTGTGTACGTATTGACATCAACAGTGGAAGCAGCAGGGCAAAAAGGTCGAAAAGCACTTCGGGCAGCGAGAGGCGTGTGCGGCGGCGGCGGCGGCGGCGGCGGCGGCAGGGGTGTCGAAGAGCAGGCGGTGAGCCATGGCAAGTCCACGTGTTGGGACGGGAGGCGCGCGGGCGCACGGCCGCTCGGCTCCTCGGGGCTCGGACTGGCGCTGTGGCCGCACCGGCGCTGGCCGTGGCTGCCGCAGCGCGGCCGCCCGAGCGATCGATGGCCGTCTGCGCAGACGCACGGCGCGAGGCGGGCGCGGGCACGCGCACGGGCACCGGTGGGCACGGCGAGCCCACGGCTTCAGTCTGCCTGGCGCCTCCACGCACTCGCCCCTCCGCACTGGCCTCGCACGCGGCAGACGGCCCGAACAGCATTTCCATGGCAGACAGTGCACATTTCATCGCGTATTAGGAGTAATGTTTCATGAAATTATAATTATTGTGTTGCAAAACGTACACTATATCACCCATAAAGCTCTCTTCTAACTCCTGTAAACATTGCACCATCACCTAATACATTCTAATACCCTCTTCGTACGGAATATTGACATTACTGCTGCATTTACGACTACCAATAAGTTCATCGACGCTTAACTTCCAAATGGGGTTCAACAGCTGTTGTCATAGTAACAATTCTCGAAAACGTGCCATTGAATGGCATGTTCCCGGACACGTCAACTTCTATTGTCATTAGACCCAAAAGTGCAATACTTGTGTTGTTGAATGGAGATGTTCCCCGCTGGAGCGTGATATCTGGTGCCCACCTACATATTGCTTTGAGGATATTGCTCTACCAGGTATCTCCATAAACGATCCACCAGTCAGGAGAACCTCTGTGCTCCTCACTGCTCTCTCGACACGACTAGTAGTATCGTGCACATATGTGTCTATTTGTGTGTGTGTGTGTGTGTACGCGCGTGCATGTAAATGCAGAGGACAAAGGTGAGGAAGAAAAGATCGCGTACGGTCCATGGCTCGCTTGTTAAGGGGCAGCCAGTGGCAATTCCTCTAGTCAAAGTAGTGAAATGACACTTCACGCACACATTACCATGTAGATACAGCACATTATTAGTGCCCTGAGGCAGCTTGAATTGCTGTTGGACAGATCTCAATCCCCTGCCTTGGAACAATAAGCCAACAAGACCGACAAATAAAATACGTGTAATTCTGCAATATTTTCTGCAATATTCTGCAATTAGCACACTGCTCAAGACCAACAAACAAAATACGTGTAATTCTGCAATATATTACTTTTATTAAAACACATTGTTCACAAATACTTCAAAAACCTAATATACTATTTATGGCATACAAACGTTCTTTTCATATCAAGAATATCAAACAAGTTTTGTTACAACAGCACGAAATTCTCGCATTATTTGTTAGTTTTGCAATTTACGAAAATTCAAGAGTTCAACGAAAATGATACTTGTATCTTTTCATAGGTCCTTCACTAATTACGAGGAAAAATAAACAAACAATTTGGAGAAGTTTTTGAGAAAGTTTTATGCAATTTTATCAAGCAGAAATAATGCCAAAATTACTTTTTCAAAAAATTGTACAAGGCCTTATTTTAAGTTCAAGTGTTTTAGAACAGATATCGTTTAAGAAAATACCTCTATCATCAATATTGTACTTTTGCTTTTTTTTGTTGCAATTTTTGAAAAGACATAGGGACTAAATTGAGACCTGTGCCATATGTTTAACATCATCTGCCCTATCCGTGCGAATAATTCCAAGAAAAAATATAAGCCCGTTTTGTGAAAGTATTTGTTAATACATCGCTTATACTTCACGCAAAATACAGTGAAAATTTTTCAAAAATTTAACAAGACCTTATTTTAAAATGTCTTAGCGCAGTTCTCATTTTCGTTGAAATCTCAGAATTACATAAAATTCCGTTAAAACTTCTTTTTCGTCTCTCTAGAACTACAATATTGATATATTTTTTTCAAATGAAATCTGCTCTTAGATTTTGAAATTAGTTCGTGTACAATTTTTCGGAAATATGAATAGTTTTCTTGTAGAAATACTAGATGGAATACGCCACTCACAGTCGATATTATTGATAAATAAAATACGTATACGTACGTATAAAATAGGTTTATATTTACGACAATCATTAAATTATATTTAATACTCATTTCATCATTTATTTTTAAAGAAACTATTACGTTTCCTAAATTACACTGATGTTTGTGACAACTGCAACACCACAAAGGGGACATACTATTACAGTGAAAGTTGACACTGTGTGAAGCCGCCACGCGTTGCCATCAGAGCCTCAAGACGTCGTGGCATGGATTGAAAGAGAACCTGGATATGCTGCTGGGGAACACACTGGCACGCGGTTCCATGCGTGACCACAAAGCACGAGGACATAAAAGAATAAATTGCTACCGGTCATATTCCAAACATGTTCGAGAGTGACATCAGGCGAACGAGCAAGTGAGCGAAGCAGTGGTACCCGTCGTTCTTCGCAGAAAGCTTGCACATTCCTCGCCACATGAGGTCGAGCATTGTCCTTCTGAATTATAGCATGAGGAGCTGCTTGCAGGAGGGGTGGTACCTCGGGCTCTAAAACCTCCCTAATGTAGCAGTTTCAGTTCAGATTGCTCTCAAAACGTATAAGGTTAGATCTCACATTGTAGCCGATTGCGCCTCAAACCATCACACTTGGGGGTTGTTCGTTACGGCGCGGAATAATGCAAGCTGGCAGATTGCGATCACCAGGACAGCGTCGAACACGTACGCGGCCATCGCTGAACAACGAATTAGAGCTGAACTCGTCAGAGAGTACCAAACCTCTCAGCACACCAGTGAAGAAGTTCACGTTCCCAATGCTGTCTCAGGCGTTGGAGGTTTCTGGACAAAGGAATCCGCCGCAGTGGTATGCGTGCCATCATTCCAGCCCTCAACAGACGGCGTCCAACCGTCGACGCAGACACGGCCACACCTCCAAAGTCGAGCCACAACTATAGGCTCATATCAACTATAGGCCGCAACTATAGGCCGCAACTATAGGCCGTTCTGTCAGTAACGGCCATGCGGACAAGATGGCTTTCATCTCACGCTGGGGTCACATTGCGTGGTCCTGTACCCGCTCGTCGCTGTGTACGACCCTCCTCTATCCGCTGGTTCCACACACGCATCACTGTCGTAGCAGCGCGGTCTGTTCGAGACGCAAAGTCACGGATTGGCAAAGCCGCTCCCCGGAGACCGATCATTCTGCCCCCTTCGAACTCACTCAGATGCTGATAGTACGCCCTTCGGCGTCGATGAGTCATCTGACACCAGCGTGCACCTTTCCACGTTGTTTGTTGGCTCTACACAGTATAGATATGGCGTAACACTGACCTGAGCTGTCGCATAGAAGACCAGGCCAACGTGCACGTCATCTCTATGCAAATGTAATCCCTTCTTATGAATACACTTTTCTACACATACACCGATTTTTAAGTGATTCCGAATATTCCTTCTGGGTGTTGCAATTTTTACAAACAGTAGTGTATTTTGTTACATTGTCAGATGTAGTAAAAGTAAAATGAAACAACTAATTTAAGAAGTTCACTTAACAAGGTTGATCAGTATTAACTATTTTCTTAACTGGCATACGAAAGTTAAAACAACGACGAAAAGAGTTTTGCCGAAAAAGTTTGAACTTTTGCAATTTTTGAAAATTTGAGTAGTGCAATGAAAATGCGATATAAGCTATTTCCTTACACGTATTTTTCTCCATCAGACGAAAAAATGGTAAGAAATAATTTCGAGGCATTTTTCATTAAATTTTGAAAATGTTGTAGAAGACTCGTGTAAAGTACTCCCAAAAAATAAATATATCCGTTTCAGATTTCGTGGTCACTATTGTTTCTGAGACCCGTTTTTTGGGCAAAATTAATAACTCTAAATTGTGAATAATGTATTAAGCGTTAATGCATCTCACGCATTAAAACAACAAAATCATTCATAATTCTGCAGGAAAAAGTAAAAAAGTAAGAAAATATTTATAATTTTTTACGAAAAGGTTGAATTAATACAAGCCAGTTTAACTTCTACTATTGACTATCTAATTATACTGCATCCAATAATCTACTGGAATTTAACAATCTTTCAAAATACTTTTATTATTCTTCAAACCTTCTTCTTCATCTTTGCATTTTTTTCTTCTTCTACTTCTAGCACTACCTTTTATTTTACTACTACTACTTATGTCTCTAACTTCCAAATTTCCTCTGTTTCTTGTCAGCATATCTATTATTTCAGAAGAACTATTTAATTTGTTTGCGTCTAATCCTATTTTCTAAAAGAATGGTAGAAATCACGTTTCTTAAGTGTCGATTGTTATATTCCAATTTATTCTGTCTATGCTTTTTCTTGTTGGGAGCTATCAATAATGTTTTATATTTTATTTCTTACTTATGACCTCCCTTCTCCAAAATTAGTAATGATAAAACTGTGTTTTCAAATGAGGTCGTCGTGCAAACAACGCATTAGAATGATTGCCAGGAATATATTACGCGTAAATTGATTACAATTTTTACGCGTAAATTGATAATCCAGAATGCCTTCAAAACTAAAACTAAAAGTAATTAATATTGCTAATATTTTGCATACAGTCAACATGCCATGAACATGCAATGAATGACTTCTTGAAAAAACACTATGACGATGCGACACTGCAACGATGTATGTTCCAAAATATTTTGTAAAGTAAGTTCCGCAACTATGTCGTTGTAGTAACGGTGTATCTACATATATATTTACAATTTCAAAACTTCTTGTAGTCGGAATTGATATTACCTGCGTTTATGTTTCAAATATTGTTGCTTTATTAAATTATTGTCTAAAGTAAATTACTTCTTGTACTCAAATATTGATGATTATTTAAATTGTATTCTAAAACAAGCTTCAGCACTTCTCCAACTGTGTACAAAAAAACTTCTCAACTTCATCTTGGCTTGAAGGCTGGCACTTCTTCGCGGCGACCGAACGGGCATGTACCGACTTCACAAGCGCGCGTCGCCAACACGCGTGCAACATTAACCAAAATGTGTCCAAAACAGTTTACTTTGAAGCGTTTACATCATATTATAGTGCAGAAAGACTTAATTTATGAAGGCTGAAAAAATACATTTTGGCCACAGAATCGGGTCTCAGAAACCATAGTGGGCCGCGATATCAGTCAGTCGATTGGGGAAAGTCAATTTTGGCAAAACTCCTGCCTGCGTTTTAGCCCTTAGCATTGTTCACAGTTCCACTGACGGACAGACAGATGTTT